TGTACAATTAAACAAAAAATTAAAATTTCGTAAAAATGAAATTTTTTTATTAATATATAAACTTATTATATATATGTCATTTGAGAATGATTGAAATATTTTGATAAGAAAATATAATTTTAAGATAAAAATTTGAAATTTTACTATTACAAAATGAAAAAATAAAATAAACAATAAAATGTAAATAAAAAATAAGTCAAATAAATTGAACTATATGATCGCCAATCTAGATTATAAATAGTTTATGTTTTTCAAATATAAATGTTATGCACAAGCTCAAAGAAAATTATTTGACATACTGTAGCATAAGTAAGATAGAAAAGAAGTGAAAAAAAAATTAGAAAAATGAATATCGTTACTTGTATCGCACCTATTAATATTGCCGTTGTAAAATATTGTATGTATTTTTTTTTATTCTTTTTATTGGTAATTATATATAAATATTATTTATTATATAGGTCAAATTAGATAAATTGAATAATGACAGAATTTATTTGCAATATTTAGTACTTATTTATTTAAATAATCGCTTTTTTAAGATTTAAATTAATAATAATAATAAAATATTTTATTTTTTTTTTATAAAATCTTATTTTTATTTTCCTATTAATTGTTTTTATGTATGGAGAAAATAACGTAGACATTCGAAATATTATAGAAGTATATGTTACATATATATCATTGAAATGTATATGACTTCCTTGATTATTTGAATTTGAATAGAATTTTTTAAAACTATATAATGTAATTTTTTTACAGGGGGTAAAAGAGATGAAACATTAATATTGCCAGCAAATGATTCCATTAGCGCTACTTTAGATACTGATCATGTAAAAATTATTAATATTCAATAAGATAAAATATAAGTAATATATTTTAATTACTTATTTTAAATTTTAGTTATGTGCAAAAACTACTGTGATGATTAGTCCAAATTTTAAACACGATCGTATATGGTTAAATGGACGGTAAATAAAAAAATTTGTTACAAAAAATTTTAAAAATAAAAATACGAATTAAAAGTATTTTAAAATATTATAAATTTAATATTTCAGAGAAGAAGATATTAAGAATATTAGATTGCAAAACTGTTTAACAGAAAGTATGTAATTATATTAAAATTCTGAAATTTTTTACAGAAAATAAAATGTATTATATTTTAGTTAGAAAAAGGACAGGAAATTCCAATCATATGGATCAATGGAAAATTCATATTTGTTCAGAAAATAATTTTCCAACTTCAGCTGGTTTAGCTTCCAGTGCTGCAGGTTATGCCTGTCTTGTAATAGCTCTTGCTAAATTATATGATGTAAAGGTATTTCAAAATAAACAAATAAATAATTATAAATTTTATAATATGTAAAGTTAATTGAATTTTATGTGTTTTAATATTAATTTCTAGGGTGATATTACTGCAATAGCTCGTATTGGTTCTGGATCAGCATGTCGTAGTATTTTAGGAGGTTTTGTAAGGTGGTATATGGGTTCTCAAACAGATGGGACTGATAGTATAGCAAAACAAATTGTACCTGCCAGTTATTGGCCAGAAATGAGAATTTTAATATTAGTTGTAAGTATTATTTTTGATTTTTTTACTTTTTATACTATGTTTTTCATTATATTTAATATTCTGTAATAGGTAAATGAAGCAAAGAAAAATGTTTCCAGTGCAATTGGAATGAAAAGAGGTATGGAAACATCTGATTTTCTGAATTTTAGAGTAAAACATATTGTTCCTGATAGAGTGAAAAGTATTGAACAGGCTATTATACAAAAAGATTTTAAAACATTTGCTGAACATACAATGAGAGATTCAAATCAAATGCATGCAGCTTGTTTAGATACATATCCACCATGTGTCTATATGAATGATATTTCACATGCTATTGTTGATTTGATTCATGCTTATAATGAAACTGTGAAAGAAATAAAGGTATTAGTTTTCAAGTTTTTTTCAAGTTTTTAATAAATCAATAAATAATAATATATAATAAGATATTAAAACGTATATTAAAATTTTGATAAAAATATATATTTATTCATTTTAGGTTGCATATACTTTTGATGCAGGACCAAATGCAACTCTGTACCTTTTAGAAGAAAATGTAACAGAATTTTTAGGAGTATTAGATTATTTTTTCCCTATAGCAACTAATTTAGAGGAATATAGGAAAGGTTTACCTGTTAAAAAAGTTGTACATTCACTAGTAAATATTGTCATCTTTGTGTAATAATCATATCTTTGATTAATAATCATATATTTGATGCATGATTAATAACATTTAATTTTGTTTTAGGAACTATTCAATAATATTAATGTAAGAAAACAAGCTCCAGGATGTTTCAAATATATTATTTATACTAAAATCAGTGATGGTCCTAAATATTTAAATAATTCTAAGGATCATCTTTTAAATAAAGAAGGATTACCTATTAATCTAATTTAAAGTATTTTAAAAAGTATTTTAATTTATTATAATTTATATAGGGATATATAGGGATATAATTTTAATTTATAAGGGATAATATTTATTATGGTAAAAAATAAATTACTACTATTTATATCTATATTTGCATTTTTTGGTTTTATTTTAATTATTTTATATCATAAATAAAAATTGAAACTTATGTATATATATATATATATATAATAGGATAGAGTATCTTGAATATCTTTATAATTTTTAAAAACATTATAAATTTTTTTATATGAGACTTGTCTGAAAAATGTAAAAAAGGCTATAATGCAATTATAATAATTTTTTTGTAAATGTAAGATATTTCAAGATCAAAGTCATCTTCATTTTTTTTAAATTATTTATATTTTTTTCATTTCTGGAAATATTTTAATAAATTCCATAACCTTTGCATCGATTTCATACAAATTTCATATAAAAAATTTTTCAATATTTTTAAAAATGACAAACATTCAAAATAATCAAAGTTATTGTTTTATTTTGTATAATGATTGAAAGATGAATAGAATTTAATGAAATATGTTAAATATTTGTGTTGAATATTATTTTATTTACATTCTAATAAAATTTATTAATTCCTATTTCACACGTTTATAAATAATAATAAATAAGTATGTAATAAATAATATTTAAATAAGTAAAGGTTTCTTAAATTGGTATAGTTTGATAAAATATGTTAAATATTTGCATTGGATACTATTTTATCTGCATTCTATATTTATTTTTATTTCATTTTTATAAATAATAATATTTTTTTATAATAACAATATTTTTAATAAATAAAAGTAATATTTCGATAAATAAGAACTTCCTGTCATCTTCATATATACATATGTATATATATATTTAAGTTAGGTTAGTAGCTAAGTATATTTAAAAGAATTTTAATAAAATTTTCATAGATTAAATTATTTTACTTTTTAAGAATATAATAAAAATATTTTAGAAATAACTAATTATTTGTAATTATATAATTTCAGTGAAAAATCTAAAAGTATACAAATTTAATCATGTGCAAAACGAAATTCATTAGATCATTTTTGGAGAAAACTCTTAGCAAACCTAATTTCGGACGATGTTTACAAAAAGTTAAGTTTTTAATTTTTCTTTTTATAATAAATTAAATATTATAATAATAAGTTTATTTTTAATTTTTAAATATTATAAATTATTTTTTTCTAAATAGCTTCAGATTATTTCAGCAGGAAATGGAAATTGTAAAGCAGAATTAGTTGTATCCGAGGAACATTTAAATTTATATGGATTGTTGCATGGTGGTTTTACATCTACTCTTATTGATGCTGTCTCTACATATGCTTTAATAACTCATGAAAAAAATAGCAAACCAGGTGTTTCATTAAATTTAAATATTACGTAAATATAACTTTTTATATATTTTTTATACATCTTATATATAAAAAATAATATATTAAATCTTTTATATATAAGAAATATATATATATATATATTAATTAATTATATAATATAAATATATAATAATATATATAGGTTTATGAAACCTGCTCTTTCTGGTGAACTGATAACAATTAATGCAAGAACTGTACGTGTTGGAAAAACAGTAGCTTTTGTTCAATAGATATTACAAAAAATGAAGGGAAAGATATAATTGTTAATGGATCGCACATAAAATTTATTGGAAAGTAAATAAAATAATGCATATATTATTATATATTTTTAATATTTAATGAACACTTTATATATGAATATGTATATAGATAGTACAATAGTATATTATAAAATTTAAATATATAGTACTGTCTTAATGTATATGGATTATTTGTCATTACATAAGTGAATACAACTTCTTTTTTGAACATTGCATCAGTATCCTTCAAATATTAATCTATTTTTTCTGTAGATATTTTTGTTTAACAAAACTCCTTAAAAATTTAGATATTCTTAAAAAATATTAATAATTGTTTTCTACAATACTTTTAGAAATTTTATAGAAGTTAAGATGTACATAATATAAAATAACACATGGCACAAAATCATAAAAGTATAATTGTTCAATATATTAGCAATCAATATAAAAATGTACATATTAAATTATAATCGTATTTGTGATTTGTTTTTATTTAAAACTTGTAATAAACACAGAACTTATTAATATACTTTTTATATCATTAACATATAATGAGTACGATATTTATTTATTATCTATATAAAAGAGAAAGAAGTAAAGTGATATGTAAACTCTTGCATTGTTCACAAGGAAAAATATTATTGCATAAAATATAATTAAAATATTTTTATCATTTTATCTAAATCAAGTCTAACATACATACACATACACACACACATACATATATACCATTCAAACAATACAAAATAAAAATTATGAAAAATCGCAATAAGTAAATAAGCTCTATTATTGCTTATATAAATATCATTAAGCTCTTTTTAGTACTATTAAAGTATCAAATATAAGACTAGAGATAATAATAAACACTTAAATAATAAATTCAAATCCAATATAAAAGCAACGAAGATATAATTTTCTTAAATTCAATCAGGCTTCAGATATGTACAATGATGTAATAATGCAATATTTAAAATGAATATTTAAAATGAAGCGAATCTAGATATAAAATAATCAAATGTCTATTAAAACAATGGCACATTTATTGATCTATTTCGATCTTTTCACATTCTCTAAAAGAGATTTCAATTCTTTTACCATATAAGACAAAGATTCTGCAAGATCCCTAATTCTTTCAGATTCTTGCTCCGTTTCTTCGATTTTTTTCTCTAAATATTCAAGTTTTTCGCTATAACTCTGTGCATTTATATCCTTCAGATTAAAAATGTTTTTTAATGGCAAATATTTGGTTGCGCCACGCCTAAATCTCGAAATCGTATTACTATGATCTTCACATCCATCACAACATTCAGACCAAACTCTTAAGTCTATGTATGGAATTTCATCACAAGTAACGAATTTATTATCACCTTCTGGCAATAAGAACACATTTGGTTGAATTCTGTTAATATTGTCACCATTATCACATAGAATCCTAGCTAAACTTGTCTGTTTAATTTGAGCGAGTTGCTCTGGCTTAAAAACAGTTGGATTCTCATACCAAAACCTGTCACCATTTCTAGTACGTCGGAACTGTTCCAATAAAAGACATTTGAAAAGTGGTCCTACTTTTGCATTAGGGAGTTGATCCTCTAATACTCCACCAACCCAAACATCTATGTTCCCAGGATGACCATACAATTCTCTTAACTTTTGTCTAACTTTAGCACTACGAATTTCACCAGCTAGATCCTCAAACGTCTCTACATGAGACATATTGCAGAATCGTCGCCATTCCAAATAGCCTGGTAGAGCATGATCTCTACCACGTTGGATATTCATTGCAGCTAAATCTAATGCTACTGCATGAGCAGTACGGAATAATTGTTCTGTAAGTTCTGTATTCAAATTTTCTTCCGGTAATTTTAATTTCGCTGCAGTGGCAAACATTCCTCTCATCAATGGATCTACGCCACCTTCCTCAACCAATCTCCAAGGTGAGAAGAAGGCATCTCTTAGCTTAAGAGGACCTTGTGGAATTGATTGAAAAGATTCGTTGAAACGTTCCAATCGAGGTTGAATCAAAGTATGACCAAATCTCAAAGCTGCAGTGGCAAAAACATTGGAAATACTAGCATCAAGATTAGAGTCATAACCATGATATGAACCTAAAAGTTCTTCGGCAGTACCATCAAAGACATGAGGAATCCATTGTTGATAAGTGATATGCTGCATTTCAGCACCAACGATTTTTCTCGCCTCTTGATATAATTTTTCTCCATTCCATTGAGGATTCATATCACGTAAGGAACGAGCTATGCGATTATGTTCGCGCAACCATATTGTATGCATCGCCAAAAGACCTACTTGTTCATTGGCTCTAATATCTCCGGCTACGAAGCAATTGATAGTGCTTTCTATGGGATTTCTTCTGCAATCAACGAATTGACCAGAAGCATATGGAAGTAGAGGCTTATGACCAGGAATTGTTGGTCCTTCTCGCAATAAACCATGATCAGTAGTGAGATCACGCAGATCTCTGGCTAAAGTATCATCATAACCATACACTTGAGAAGCATCCAGATAGCTAGTTAATTGATTTAATTGTTCTCGAGGGGTAAAACTACCCCATAATATACTAGTTGCACCCGAACCGCAAACTGCACTGGTCCTAATAAAATCGATGCACCTTCTGTTATTAACTCTGGGATCATTACGGGGAACGTCCATAGGGAAACAAGGTGCAGCATTATCACAAGATTTTTTGCAGTCTATGCCATCCCAAGATTCGCTGGAAACTGCTGGAAGAGCATGATCTAAATCATGATCCAGAAATTGACCCCATTGCATCACCATATGTGTTATCCCATTGTCTGAAGTCACTTTGTGAGTGGCTATCAAAGTGGTGGAGATTAAACGTGCCGAAGGTTTTGGATATCCGTAATAAAGGCGACCTTTCTCCCAACCGACAGGTGATGAAAATCCATTTTCATAAATTGGTTGTAAAACTCTACGAAAACCGGTATAAGAGGAACCCCAAGTGGGATGGCGTAGATTGTTACAATTACCATCAATGCTGCGGTATTTATTGTGATAGCACATATTCGTGCAATTCTGACGATGCCTGTGACCAGTGCATCCGGACAATCTTTCGATTTCTCTAACCTATAATAAAATTGCAGAATTTTTTTATTATTCTGAAAAAAATTATTCTCTAGAAAAAAAATTAATAAAATTTGTTTAAATAAAAAAATTCGATATGAATCAATAAGTAATATGATTTCAATATGACTTTATATCAATTTTTTCTTTTTTTCCATTGTCTTTGAGCTAAAATAGCACATCTTATAATAATGATTATTATTAATTGATATCATTCTGTGAAGAGAAATTATTTTTTAGATAGTAATATCAAATTAAAAACTATATAAATTTGATTCATATCATATTTATATTAACTTAAGACAGCAAAATTATTTTGATTAAATAATTAATTCAAAGAATATACCTGTTCTGCTGTCAGAATTTCTTCGTAACGAAATTCAGTGGTAGTGTTTGCGCTTAAGCCAGAATTTACCATTCGTCGTATATTAACAAGTGTTCTTTCAAAAATTTCCGCTGGTCGGGCAGCCGCACGACCAAAAGCATCTGGGAAACGTGCAAGTCTAAATGGATTCACGTGTTGAGGTCTGTCACCGTTAAAAAGATCCATCAAAGTGTTGTTTATGGCTCGATCGATCTCCTCTGTGGCGTCCTTAAAAGCTCTTATTACCAGCACATCTGTTGCTTCTGATTGGCGAACGCGCACCAAAGCTTGAGCAGTTGCACGGCCATATTGGTTCACGGCTGAACATTCGTATCTATGTATACGATTTTTTTATTATTTGAGATACATATTATATATAAGATATATTTATTATAGTACTTGATTAAATTTAAAAGAATTTTGAATTGAATATTTGATTCAATTTTAAAAACTCATTTTTAAAACATTTTTTTCTTATTATTCAATACTTCGAGTTTCAGTGTCTGATCATAGCAGATAAGGGAAGAAAATTCAATTAAAGGACCCATTGAATAGCTGCATAACTTAAGAGTCAACAAATTATATAATTTGTATTTATTATTATTAAGATTTATAGTTAAAATTTCATTATTTGTATCATTTCTCGTCTTCCTTCATTTATACATTACCATATAAAAGTTTAAAAGCAATTTTTGCACAAAATAAAAAATTGTGCTTATAGATATTAGCAATTATTCTTAAATATAAGAAATATAAGAAATTAAAAAATTAATAAATAAATAAAAAATAAAGGTACTAAGATTTTGTCATCATCTTTTTTTCAATATATTTTTTTATTACTTATATTACTCAGCTAATTTCAATTATAAAAAATACATAAGTTTAATACGTGACTTTTTATTTAAAATTCCTTATTGTTTCGAAACTTTTAGATGATAACATATTTCTCTTAAAAAAATCTCAGAAACAAAATATTCAAATTCACCTTCCAGTGTCCCCAGCGGTAACATTATAAAGATACAAGCTTCCCCCACGAGATATTCGAAATCTTTCTCCTTCCATAGCTGTTCCATCTTTCTTCCACTGTATCACCGGTTTTGGAATGCCTTCCACTCTGCAAGGTACCTCGATAATGGTCCCAGGTTCCGCCTCCATATCGTGAGGCTCATACGTCATCCTAGGGGGGCTATAAGACTCGTCCACCACGTTCAAATCGGCACTGGTTTCGGCATATCCATTAGAGTTTCTCGCTTGGCAAACGTATCTCGCCGTGTCCGTTTCCTTCACGGCAAAAATTTTCAATAAACTTCCTTCGTTCTCGATGGCAACACGACCACTCACGTCCAACAATTGACCGTTTCTCCACCATTGAATATTCGGAGTAGGGCGACCATCCACTTTACAAGTGAAAGAAACATCTACGCCAATTTGGACAGTCTGTGATTCGGGTAATTCGGTGAATCTTAACGATGGCGACACCGTGATCACCGCCCTGGCCTTTCTCGATTTTGTCAAACCCATTTCACTCTTGGCCACGCATTCGTATTCACCGGTGTCTTGCTCCGTCACGTCTGATATTATTAATGTTCCATCCTCCTGTATCACGTAATGATTCCCATCGGCGGATACCTCGTTAGAATCACGCATCCATTTGATTTCTGGTATCGGATCGCCTATTACCTCGCAGGTGAAACTGATGGTACCGCCCAATCTTACTTCCACGTCCTGGGGTCCGTTCATTATGCGCGGTTCAGCTGGAAAAATATAGAAATGAATAATTTGTTTAAGAATAATTTGTTAAATATTGATTCGTATATCGATGAGGATATTTTTTATCTTATAAAATTAGAATTTTAATTATTTATATGGAAATTTATGTTACTGTTAGAGAATTTTGTTTATCATGTATACAGATATTTGTGTATTTATGAAAGTAAAAATTAAATATAATTCTTCTTCTTACACGGTTTGATGTAAGAACTAGAAACTATATAATATTATTTATTATAAAAATAATATAGAATTAAAGAATGTATTTTCTTATTTTTGCTATTGATCAATTGCATTAAGAAAAATATAAATGAACTAATTAAAAACTCAATTTAAATAATAGATTCTAATAATAAGTCTGTCAATTTACTTTAGGCACAGTGAAATTGCCAGTGGCAAATTTTAGTAGAAAATAGGATTATTTACAATTGTATAGGTAAAATCGATTATTAGAAATCGATTACATATGTGATTTAATTTGAAATTGATATGATTAAACATATTAGTATAATCATATCAGTTAATCATTTTATCAGAATACTTTTTAAATAGACGCGAAGATAATGTTCATTTATTTTTATTTTTACTTAATATATATAATAACTGCAAAAAATATTTGTACACCATTGTATTTATCATTATATTTATATGTTAGTTCTAATAATATATAAATACATTATACATGGTATCATGTAATAATATTTTCATAAGCCTACAAAATTTTGATGCTATGAAATGTGTAACATGATAAAAAGAAGAAGAAAAAGAAGAAATTTTTCATTGGAAAATAAGCGAATAATAAATGTTGATATTTTTTTATTATCATTGTATGTTTTTATATACAATCAAAAATAATCAAGAAAGCAGACTCTCGCCACTTTGTCAACATCATCATTATTGATTCAACTTTCCAATAAAAAGTTTTTAACCTATAATATTTATTAATGTAATATAAAACTTCTCTTAACATCATTAAAAGTGATATGTCTCGCGAGAATTATAAAGAAACATTCTAAACACGGTGCTCGATATTTCATCTTGTTTATATTTAAATTTCACTACTATAATTTCATTATTATATTTCATTATATTTCAGTATAATTCCATTTTTTTTTGTTCTCATTAAACTAGATTTCCGATAAGAATAGACAATTTTTGAGATTTAATTAAACAACGAAAATTAACGATAAGATTTACTGATGTATATTATTTTGAAATTTGATATACAACTACAATGATTAAAAATTAAAATTGCCTATCAAATTGCACAAATTATATTTTTTATTTTTAATGTTCTCAAATTTGTATAAAATTATTTTTGTAATGATATGCAATATTAGATTAGATTTAATTACTCAACTGCAATGAAAATCATCCATAGACATAGTCGTCAATGATCTTCCCTTCATTTCATTCGGCGACTGACAAATGGCTGCCATTTCAGATGGTTTGCTTTGAAGCCTCTGCACCAACCATACCAAGTTGCAATCGCAAACGAGAGCATTGCTATCTAAGCGAAGGCGCGTCATAGGTCCCACATTGTGAAAAGCATCTGCTGGTAGATGATGTAGCATGTTACTCTGTAAGAAGAGTCTTTCCAGTGACGGTAAATCATTGAAAGTGTTTTTTTTTATTCTCTCAGGTGATTGTAATGAAGATATAGCTGTTCCAATTTCAGGAGACCGGAAAACGCCCCTGGTGAAATTTGTTCCAAATGATTTTTATATAAATAAAGAATTCTCAGATTTGGTGCACCCTCGAAAGTCTTTGGTAAGAGATATCTGATGCGATTGTCATTCAACAAAAGTGTATCTAATTTTGGTAGATTGTGGAAGGAGCCTTGTCGGAGCTCAGCTATGTTGTTGAACCGCAGATCACTGTAAAATTGATATAATTTTTTTAATATGTTATAATGAAATATATAAAGAAATAATAAAGAATGAAAAAAATAAAATATATTATTATTAATAATAATAATAATAATAATGAAATGGAAATTAAAAATTTCATTTTTAATTCTTTATTCGAAGAAAAAGTTATTAATATGATGATAATATCTATATTTTGAAATGAAAAATGTAATTTAGAAATGAAATTTTAGGAAATGTAATGCATTTTAATGGAATAGGAATAGAATATATATGTTTATAATTATTCAATTTTTATTTTCATAATATGAAACTGATTTATTTTTTATAATATAATAAAATTAGTATAATTGTGAATTATGGGATATGAATGTCCTATATTATAGTAGAATATCTTAATTATTAATTTATAAATAGGTAATGAAATCGATAATAAATATAAAATATAGAAAATCATGTAGAATACCTACATAAAATCGAGATTGATCAAATACTGGAAACGGACAAAAGAAAGAAAATATCACAAAAAAAGAATAGGAATAATGTTTTGAATATGTACTCTGTCATCATTTTCAATTTTTTATCTATAACTTATTTTAAATTTTCTTTATTTCACCAAAATCTTCTAATAATAGAATAGCAAAAGAATAGCTTCTGTCTACATTGTTCTATAAATTTGAACCAAAGAAACGAAGTTTTTCAATTTCAGAAATTACGCAGAAAGATTGCTGTGTGGATTAACTGTTATATTTCTTTCGCAATTGAGCAATAATTATGCTTCAAGTTTCGATTATAACTGCAATCAACTCGACAAAACTTGCAAATCAACGTAGCAACTTAAACGCCATCATTCGTTAAAATTGAAATAATATTCGTTGAAAACCGGTTCATTTCGACTTGTTCCAGTTAATTATTGAGTGGACAGTCGATCTGTATATATGTCGTCGACAAACAATCGAGAGATATCAATTAGATATCATTACACAGTTTGTTGTTGCAAAAATTGCTTGAGCGCGAATCTCTTAATTAACGATTTTATTCGTCTCGTTGCACGTTATTTTCTTCATCTAAATTGCCGAGCGAATTCTCGGTTCGGCGCGTCAGTATTTTAACCTCTTTATCGCTTCAGCTGATCTTCTAGTGGTTCGTTCCGTGGCAAAATACGAACAAGGGAAACGAAAATGGAACGATTCATGAGTACAGGCGACCATTCGCGACACAAGTACAATAATAGAAGATTTTTCTGTTAAAAAGATTCTGTTAGAAGATTCGCAACGAGAAATGTATTTTGCTTCTTATATTTTCGCCTCGTGAATCTTTTTATTAATATCTTTTATCATTGTCAGGTGTGACAATGTTGAACAATACATGAAATATATGTGTTTGTGTGTATATGTGATAAACTGTCAAGATTTAAAAATTTTCTTATATTTAGAAAGTGGAAATAGCTATATTCGTGGAATTTTTAATAATATAATGTAAGGTAAGCAAGATTCTAAGAGAAAAGACGAAAAAAAATATAAAAAAAGGTTTTCTTTTAATAATTCAATGATATTATTGAATAATATAATGATATATTATTAAATAGAAAACCATATCAAATTATGTATATATTTATGTATATATTTATGTAATATATTTATATAATATGCTATTGGAAAGAACGAAATCAATAAAAATGATAATGAGTGAGAAATAAATTCACTTTCATCTTGATTGGACGACTTTACTATTTTAAATACCGTCATAAATATTATTAGTAGCAATCGTTATTTATCTAAACTTGCCATCATAATTTGCTTTGCAATTTAACACCAATATAATAGATTCAATGAAAAATTATAACTATTAATATTAATAAACCTACCAATCGATGATTATTAACAGATATTGATTATTATTAAGAGATATTATCTTTTAATTATTATTAAATTAATAAATTTAAAATTTTATTAAATTTGTAACATATAATAATCGAGCTATTAATCGAAAGAAAAAATTGTTAAACAATTAAAATAGAAAGTTTTTTAAAAATAGAAATATTTAATATTTCATTATTTTTTACGATATTAATTATTAATATAATTAAAATATTATTAGACTATTTGTATAATATGTAATATTTATCTTACAATATTTTTATTGTAAATTAATCCAACTTTTATACGTTATCTTTTATATAATTTTCAGAATAATTTTTCCAATATATATCCATTGCTTAATTGTTTAAACAACGATCGGAAAAATTTTTATCTCGAAGGCATATCGATAATTTAACAAAAGTGTATTTATTCAATGAAGTCGAGGCAAACTGCACTTAAAGAGTACCTACTCGATATTCAGGTCAATATCCATAATAAGTATTTCTTCATCGATCGATTCGAAGACCATTTTATTATTTCAAAAAACTCGAATTCTAAAATTATGTATAAGACTCAATACTTGCAGCTTCCAATCGTTTTATTAAAATCTGATTGAAAGATTGATATAATGAAAATATTTTATATAAAAATAAAAGATGTTTTTCATTTATTTTTAATTTATTTAAAATGCATTAAATTTTATTTATATCAGTTATAATATAAAATTTTAAATAAGTATATTATAACAATTTAATTTGATATAATATATTCTTGTTTTTCTTTAAAAATGTTTTACTTAAAATTTTATTTAAAATTATTTAATTACTTATGTTATCAATATAATAAATTCTAAAATTTTAACTATCATTTTCGTTAAATTTTATTCTATTTAAAATTTTACATATAATTTTACTTATATTTTTACATCTATTAAAGATATTTAAATTTATAATGTCTTCATTATATTATATAAATACTTGGCTAGATTCAAATTAATCGTTTTAAAGTAACAAGCGACTCTCATTATTTTTGCAAGGATACTTCAATTTAACGAGACTATTTTACACAACAGAGGGAGAAACCATCAAGAATCAATCGAAATACGATTCGATTTTTACATAAATGAATGAAAACAACAAAAAATTCAATTCCTGAATAAACAATTTTATTATACTGTATTTCAAATCGTTCCAATATTATCTATTCAATAGAAATTTGTTGCTTTTCTTTATTCTTTTTTATCGATTTTTTATAATCAAGTTTTGAACACTTTTTGTCTACGGCTATATACAAAAATAAGACAGATGAGTGTATTGCGTGAAAATAGTCTAGGAAAGCATGAAGATTAGCTTACAGAATCACGCAGGACGGAATTTAACTGTTGAGCTTTTTCGATCATTTCTTAATATACACGATTTATGATATTGGATATGAAATTGAATAAGATTTATTATATTATCAGTATAAATAAACATGGTGTATAGCCAAAACGAAAATAAAGATCATGTAGAATGGACGAAGAGAAGAAGTCTTTCAATTTGAAAAATGCTATTTCGCATGTTTCACTTGACACTTGGCAATAGAAACAACGTTTATTATAACGATTAGCGAACAAGCGTGTAGGATTAGATTTTTGCGTAATCATGGTGTGTTGACAGAAGAAGATAATAATGCCATCAAAAAAAAAGAAATAAATATGCACAGTAGTAGATATATTATGTAATTTTATCGAAGGTATTAACTAATGTTTTTCAATTTTATTTTTCTTTTTGATAAACTAAAACTTTTTAATTTTTTTTATATATCTTTTTATTTCTTTAATAAAACATAATCTTTCAATTTTTTTTAAAAATAATATAGTAGCAAGCGTCAAATAATGAGATAAATTTATTTATTTATCTTTGTTTTAAAATAATTATTAGACAAAAGGAAATAAAAAAAGTAATCTTTCAGTTTAATAAAGATAACTATTAAAAAGTTATAATAAATTAAAATAATATATTATTTCTTTTGTGAAATTAAATGAATAAGAGTTTGAAAAAAATAATAAAATTTATATGAAATTATGTCATTAGCAAATTATTGTATTTCAAGTTATATATTTATATGAAGTGCATAAATTATTTCATGGTATTGTGTTATGCAATAGATCATATGGATTAATTGAGAGACAACGTTTAAATAAAAGCAATATCTTTTAATTGTTTCTTTATGGATAAGAATATTGCAGTGTATACTCGTTTCTGAGTCATCTCTCAATACAAACAATTTATCGTACTTTCTCTAAAAGATTCTATTGTCGTTGATGATTTTTGCAGTTAATGCTCGGCTTTATAATTAATCATTTCACTAAATTTATTCATGAAACTTCTCTATTTCCGAAACTTTCACTTTTATTGATGAGTTGAAAAGAATTGTTTAAAATGACTTCACAATTTTCTACATATATATATATTTTTACATTTGGCATTATAAGAAGAAGAAATATTTAATAAAATAGAATTTCTTATGAAACTTATTCGAATTTGGTCAAGCTCTTTAACAAATCCTAAATCCTTTTTTTTGATTTTATTTATTTCCACAAAAAATTATACTTTAGGACATAACAATGCAATATTTTCAAATAAAATTTTTTACTTAAATTTCATGTTATCAGATTTATAATAATTAAAACAATTAAAAAAAAATAAATTTATTTTAAATTTTTATACATTTTAAATGTATATTTTTATATTGATTTTTCTATACATTTATATTTCTGTATATATTATTTTTTTATTTTTTTATTTTCTAAATGTAAAAAGTAAAAACATTATTATAAAAAAAATTATTTCATGATATTCTGTTATAAATATTATTTATAAAAATAATATTTTATAATTTTCATATTTTTCGTTCTATATTCAACTTTTTATAAATACAGTTTTAGACAGCAAAAAGAAAACGTAAAAAACGATTAGAAACAAATTGAAACAAAGTCCTTAACCTGATTAGAAATGATAGAAGCGGCAAAATATTGACTATGTGAGGACATTATCTATAGATATATTTTTATCGTTTTTTTACTCAAAATAAATATATCCATTTTTTAAAAGAAATATACCTGTTGTTTTTTTCACGAAAAACTAAATTGATTGTTTTTTTGCAAAAAAAAAAGAAATAGAAATTCGTATACAAGCACATTCATTTCTACAGAATATATACAAATGCTGAACGGTGATAAAATCAAAGAGAAACATTTCGAAAATATTCGTAAGTAATATATATAACAAAAAGAAAAGACGCTTTATTCTTTTTTTGTGAATGAATAAATTTATTTTTTAAAGATGATGCATAAGTTAAATTAAGATAATATTAAAAAATTTGTAAATAGTTCTGAAATTCAAAATGATCATTTATTTCTTTTTTTATTTAAATTCTTTTTGTTATATATATGCAATTTTTTTAATAAAAAAATTATAGCTTTTTATTTATATTATAAAAAAGTAAAAGTTATTAAAAATTAATTACAAATAATTTCTTAATTAAAAATATATAATATTCGTTGAAATAATTTATTAGTAAATGTTTTTCAAAATTTGTCACAATTTCATTAATTTAAAATAAAAATTAGATTGAATTAAAATTAATCCACGTGCTTATCAAAAGAATAGACCACACACATTCATTCGACAATTCGCATCTATGATATGGATTCGTTTAGTCTTCAAATATTCATTTACATCCGCTTTCTCACCTCTTATATATAGTTTAAGCTGTATGGTCACGCCTATTTTAACTATATTCGAATATATGTTGTTCGCTGTATAAAGAAACTGAGGTATAAAACTATACGATCTTAGTACGATTTTAAATGAAATGATTAAAAATTCAAATATGCCAAAAATATTGAAAAAATGTTATATGTATAATCTTATTTAAAAAAAAAAAGAGAGAAAATCAAAACTTTCTTATAAACTTCTTTAATAGTCTTGTAAAAACTAATCACTTAAAATGAGATCATAATGCAAACTATTTAAGCAGTACATAAATATATAAAAAGTATATACATAAAGATTACTAAGTAAAATGATTTTTGAAAATGTTTTTTTATATAACATCCATGCCTTTTTTCCTTTGTGTTAATTTTCAAAATGTTGAAAATTGAATGATAAACAACTTTTGTTTGTAAAATTGAAGAATTTTTTATTTGAATGATTTGTATTTCATTGATTATTTTAAAAAATAATAAATATACTATTACATATAAAGTAATCTAAAAAAAATATTGTAATACATGTATGATTCCATTCATATTTAAAATACGATTCTTTAATTATATCTTTGATCAAAAGTTATTGCCTTTATATGACTAAAGTGATTTATCATCATAAAATCTCAAATTTGAATTGATTCATTGTTGCATGATTTTTCTTAATTCTGTACTGGAATTAATTATGTGATTTATTTGTACTCATCAATTAATATAAATTTTAATATGACTATGAATGAAATATAATAATGTACATTTATAAATTTATAGAATTTCAAAATTTTTCAATATCAAAAAAAATTTTCTAATTTCTTAAAAACTAAAATTTTCGAAAAAAGTACATATAAAATACGCACAGAAGAAATATATTTATGGATAAATAATAAAATTCAATCAATATTATTAAATCTTTAAACTTTCAAGAATTCTAAAATTCTTTTTTTGTAGAAATCCTTCATACAAAATAAATATATCTAATCAAAAAATATACTTAATCGTAAGCAAGCTACGTAATTCCTCACTTCCCACATACACTTATGTTCAGAAATATTCACAGCCTACACCATGAATATTAGTCGATTACTATGATTCCTGTAATTCGCCTAGGGACATAATACGTATATATTATGCTATAAACATACCATAAATCGTGGCGTAACAATTGACCAGAAGGATTAAAAGTAGTGTGAAAGGAGAAAAAAAAAAATAAGAAAGGATTCAAAGAAACAATCACTTACAGGACCGTCGTATTAGTTGGTACCCGTGGTATACGATTCAGCTTCTGAAGCATGCATCTCACAGTAGTTCCGAAGCACATACACTTGTAAGGGCATTCCACGTTCCTACCATTTTGCCATTGGTGTGCATAAAATGATGGCAGGACGAACAGGAGCGAACAAATGACACTTAACGTCAACTTCATTTTGCGATACCCACGCGTTCGTTTTTCACATCGAAATTGTTCCTTGCACTATTTCACGCTTGCACGTGTTGCATGGAGATATCTTCGTATGTACAAACGTATGGTAGCAATCTTTAGACACGCGATACTTTCACTTTTGCTTCAGAAATCCATAAATTGAACTATAACTATTAAAATTAAAACTAAGATCCTGAAGAATTAGGATCTCTTAGGATTTTCGAAATCTTATCGACTTTATACGGTATATATTTGTTGCATTTTGGTAATAGTAGCTTATGTGATTTTATTAAATCACATTTTTTTTATGTTTGTAAAGATCATGAGAAACAAAAAAAAATATTTGGCGGAAAATTGCATGTAATTCAATGTAAGTTGGATTAGATTAATATTTTGGATATAAAGATAATGAATTTTTTGCTTGTAGTTTGATTGCTTGTAGAAGACTAGGGAAAATGTTTTTAGGAATAGTATGTGTTGATTTTTAAAATTGTTATTTCATATATAGTATGTCTTATTTAAGTATATTTAAAATTATTGAAATCAAATTTTACAAATTTATACGTATCAAATCAATTTACTAAATATATTTTTCCAATAATTTTAAATGACTTTTTCCCCAATTCTTTATCAAAAATAAAATAAAAAACTTAAACTAGACATGCTCTCTCTACTCTTCAAACTTCATTTCATTTCACTGTTTCTCATTAAAACTTTAAAACAATTTATTCTAAATTTTAACCTTTCGATCATATAAAATAATTTTTTATTCAATTTTCAAATTCAAAGTCACTTCCTTCACAGAAATTTCACCGATCCAAGGTTTTAAAATTAGAAGAAGCTAATCCGTTGTATATGTATTATATCTCGGCGAGATTCCTTCAGAGCCAACTGTATAACTGTCGAATATCGTCTACGAGGGACGAAGCAACGACGGCAATGAAGGAATAAATAAGAAGGGACGACGCCGCCGCTGCGTTCTCGTCTCGTCGCGGCGGCTTGGCTACTACTGGAAGTACGTCTTGCCCGAGTATACCTCTGCGCGAGCGTATATACGCGAGCTTTTCCACACGAGTATTCCTCCCTCTACTACTTCCAACCGCAACGTTCGGCGCCGATCTGTCCCTCTCCCTTTTCTTCTTTCTCGTTTTTTCTTTATTTACTTGCACGTGGATGTATTCGGTATAGTACGGCAACTTTTGTAATATTGCAAGATCGTAAAATAGCATTGGGCATTTGAGTGTTTGAATAAACATATTGATGGAAATTTGAGAAGATGAAAATTTGAATAATTAATATTTTGACAATATCGATGGATATTTTGATAATTTAGATTTAACATTAATGTTTTTAGATTATTTTTGATCCAATCTGTTTTGTCTTTTTTGTCGTCAAAAAATTTCTAGAATTAGAAGATAATAAATAAAAATAAAAGAAAATCAAAACATATAAAAAGATATATTAAGTGTATACGGAAATAAAAAACAATATTATTTCTTTAATAATAATATAGGTATTTTTTAATAACAAATTAACTTGTTATATAGATTAAAGACTTTGAATAATAAATACAGAAAATACAGAAAAAGAAAAAAATTAATAAATGTCTTTAATGTAAATACATATATCAAATACAAGAAAAATATATTTATTACTTTCATGTAAGAGAATATTTTAGCATATAATAATCATAAAAAGAAAACTATTACATTTTGCATGCAAAATAAAATTTTAACAATTGATTTTCAAGGATATAAAACTGAGTAAAAGACAATTTTTTTTTGCAAAGAATATTTCGTATTTCGTTTTTATTTTGTTTTATTGAAAATTTTTTTTAATATTTTTTGTTTTATAAAGAATTTCAGGATATAATATGCACACATATTATATTTTTTATTTAATTATCGAATTAAAAAAAAAGATATAGAATAATAATATTTACTTTATTATACACAAATAAAAATGTATTTCAATTTGTATACGAAATAATTTTAAATAATTCTTTCTTAATCTACTTTGTTGTATGTCTCTTTTTGTTGTATGCGATTTCAAAGAAACCGTTGCTATATAATTGGATGCTTTGTATCTGTCCATTTTAACGTTTCTCTGCGCAGTGCTCTATGGGACACAGCATATTCCCGCGTTGCAACGTTGCGACGTTGCATTACGTGTTATGGCTTCTTCCCTTGCCTTTTGAGATCTCGGTCAGAAAGAAGTGACAGTAGTCGTTGCTTTTGTATTCTAAATCATACACTATCGACGTTTAAGTTCTGGAAGTCTTTCAAATTTTAATGTTAAAAGAAAAGTATTATATTGTTTAGTGAAAATCTCTTATTCCCCAGAAAAATATTATATTCTATCAAGATAATGAAAATTAAGAAATATTCGACAATAAAATCATGTTTTCAATGTTTTATTATTATTATTTTTCTATTTTTTATATATTATATTCATTTTGATATCAAATTTTAATTTTTTTAGTAAAAAAAAAAATATCTTTCGTTTTAAGAAAAGCGAATGTATTGCATTATTACTATACTAGTATTTATAATATATAAATGTATTGAAAGCGAAGATAATCTTATAAAAGGATGGCATCATCAAGGATAGAAACTCATAAATTCAAAATTTATAATGCAACATTAAATCCATCTTAATTCTAACCTAACTTTCACTCTACTTTGTCAGCTCTATTTACTAAAGTTTATCATCAACAAAGATTTTAATTTCCTTATTCTCAGAATTACAATTTCTCTTAGATCTTTACAATTAAGATCACGAAACTACTGTACCAATACATCTATACATGGTAGTGTACATTTGTATCTTCATAGAAAATGTTTTCCAAGCCATACATTTCACACGACAGAAACGCAATATTCGGTGTAATGCGATATTTATCGACATTGTCCTCACGTGCACATTCCCATTAACATTCCATATGAAATCTGCAGACAGATAAGTGGAATGCCTTGTACAAAGCCACATTTACATATACTCTGGTATCTGGATGCATCCGTGCTTGTAAAGACGTGCATGCATGCAAAGTTCAACGAGCGCTAGAGAAGCTGGCGCTAAACGGCAATCCTTCATACTAGTAAACCGATCAGTGATTGTTGCTTTTTTCTATTGTTTTTCCGGATGACACTGTTGTTTGATGTAGAAATGTGATTAAGCATAATTGAGATTCGTGTTTACAATTCCTGAAATATATCATAATAAATACATAATAAAAATAGCAATCTCGAGCGTATAGGTTAGGTAAATATTTAAATATTAATTAATTATTATTAATTGATCGTAATAGCAATTCGTTAATGTGATGAATATTTATTAAAAAATTGAAGTTACGAATTATATAAAATATAAGATTATTTGTTATAATGTAAAATGAAATATTTGATATATTATAATACAGTAAGTACGTATAATAATAATATTATATATCTTAAATAAAAAAATTCATTTGAAAATATTATGTATGTGTATATCATTGTATGTATATTATTTAAATCAGAAACTAAATTTTATTTTATTAAATTTTATTTAGTTAAATTAAGAATATATTTAAGTACATAATATTTTTCAAACAATCTTCATTTTTCTTTATAATATTATTATTAATTTATGCAAAATTATTTTATAAATTTATAATTTATAAATTATAAGATAACATATAACATAATTTTATAATTTAAAAATTTTAGAATTATATATTGTTATATTTTAAAAAAAATACCATTCCTTACAATCGAATATAATTTTGAATATTCATTGCTTCAATTATTCTAATTAATTGATTGTTCACCATTATTTTTTTAAAATATTTTATATTTGAATAATTTAAATAGAAAAAATTCTCTATCTTTTTAGATGTATTTTTATTTTTGAAATTCAATAACTAATAACCTGTATGTTTATCCATGCCAATTGTAGCTGTATGTATTCTTCTTTGAATAGAATTGCTACGTTAGTTATGCAATTATACAATTATCCAATTATAAAAATATTTCAAAGATGAAATAGCTTCATTTCGAATGAATTTGAAAATGAAATGTAAGAAAAAAAAATATATGGGACCATTATCTTCGTTTTTTTTTTGTATTGTGAGTTGTGCATTAAGGAGAATAACACAGATGTTCTATGCGAAAAACAAAAGAATACTTAAGGAAAGAGAAAATATTAACATTCTAGGTCATCGATTCTAAAACATTCACGATTAGAACGCATTCCCGTAATGTGTAACTTACCAAGTTTGTGGATTATCAATATTGTTTGACAAGCACGATTCAGGGAATTGTATCTGGCTATTAATATGGATAAATCTAATTCACATTATATATAATACATATCAATATTCGAACACTATTATTCGAGAGATTATTGCTTTATATATTTATTTATAATAAACTTTTTTAAATTGATTTTTAATATATTAATATATTCATTATTAATTAGTATAAACATAAATTTTATTTATTTAATATAATTTTCTATATTATAAATTAAATTAAATTAATCATAAAAAAATTAATCATGTATTAAATTTTATAAATTTGAAGATTTGATAAATGAATTGTATAAAATGATATAATTGTGTAAACTATTGTTTTTGAATTAGTTTCTATTAAAAAACACAAAATAGTGCATATAATCTCAATAAATTAAAGTTATTTGATATTTTATTGTAATTTAAAACTTTGTTATTTCAGTAACTTATACTAATAAACGAATTTAATCTATTTAAAAAGATTTTGAATCTATGAATTATAAGAATAAATCCGCCTTTCTTTTCTTTGTAGAATGATCTAACTGAACTTAATCGAGGCATTCAAACCCGAAGCGTGTGCCGAATAAATCCGAACCTGAGCCGAACTATTCTTCGAACTAGTGTGCATCCGTGAGCATATGTAGGTTTAGTTTGTCACTATAAAAATATGGGTTTATATGTTTCGTAATCAAAAAAAAAAATTAGTTTTTATTTTAATAAAAAATATTAGAATATTTATTTAGAAAAAGATAAATTTTCTTAATACTTTCTTACATTAATTTTATTTAAAATGAATAGATTTTGTAAAAAATTTATCCAGTATTTTAAATTATGTACAAATGTAAAGAATTATGAAATCTAATTTTAATCTAAGTCAAATTAGAAAGATAATAATCTAAAGATATGGTATAATTCAAATACAA